GCGTCTGCCTTTGGCTCAGGTCATGATCCCAGGGTCCTGGGATCGAGTCCCACATTGGGCTCCCTGCTCAACGGGGAACCTGCTTCTCCCTCTCCCACTCCTCCTGCTTGTGTTCCCTCTCTCGCTGTGTCTCTCTCTGTCAAATAAATAAATAAAATCTTAAAAAAAAAAAAATGTGTATATTGAAAATCTCTCGGGGCACCTGGGTGGCTAAGTCAGTTAAGCGTCTGCCTTCAGCTCAGGTCATGATCCCAGAGTCCTCGGATCAAGCCCCTTATTGGGCTCCCTGCTCAATTGGGAGTCTGCTTCTTCCTCCCCCTCTTCCTCTGCCCCTGCCCTCTCTCAAGTAAATAAATAATGTAAAAAAAAAAAAAGAAAATCTCTCATTTTACTGTTCCTTTCTTTACAACCAAAGTAATTGTTTTTACTGTTCACAAGAGAAAACTATAAGCCCTATTTTTTTCCCCCACTTAGAGTAAATTTTTGGCTCTTGTCTCTTTAGTCTCTTTTTAAAAAAATTGAGTTATAATTTACATCTAGTAAAATCATCCTTTAGTGTCCGGTCTGTTGGTTATGTAAGTATCAATATATGGGACAGTTCCATCACCCCAAATATTCCACTGTATCCCCGGAGTCCCTTCCCTTGTCCCCAGGCAACTGCTGTTGTTTCTGTTCCTCTTGTTTCTAAAATTTTAAATTTTTAAAAAAAATCCCCGTTTTGATACAGTTTTGAGCTTTGACAAATGCAGAGTTGTGTAACCACCACAAGATTCAACACTGGTATCGCCTTCCCCCAAATTCCCTCCTGGTTAAATCCATTCCAACCGTTTACCTTGGCAACCACTGCGCTATTCGTTACCCATATAGAAGTTCACGGACTTTTTCTGGAAAGGGCCATATAGAAAACATTTTAAGATCTGTGGGCTATATAACCTGTCACAGCTGTTGAACTGTGCCATTGTAATAGAAAAGCTGCCATAGATGATACAGAAAGGAATGAATATGGCTTATTTCAGTGAAGCTTCAGTTCTGGACACTGAAATTTGAATTGTATAATTTTCATGGGTCATGAAATAGTCTTCTGATCGTCTTGAAACATTTAAGAATGTAAAAGCCAGGGCGCCTGGGTGGCTCAGTCGGTTAAGCG